TATATATATATATATATATATATATATATATATATCAAGTACAACACATACCAAAAAAGGAGAAAACACTCAGTTATTGAACATAGCTTATTGATTAAATGGTGAGCTGTCTCACACATAACAACTTCATTTTATGTACTCCTTTGGCAAGAGTCTTGGTTTCCAATTATCATCTGTTTCCAATCGAACACAATAATCTGAGACCCGTTGTGTGCAGACAATGCTATCTTGTCTAAACGGTTTAGCTTATAGCAAGACTTGTAGTGAGGGAGTAACATGTTCACATCCTTATTTTAGAGTTGGCATATGCAGCTATTACAGTAAATTGTTTCCAGTGTCTCACACATCCACAAGGCAGGAGTTGATGATAGCTTACCCTTTAGCTGCTTCTTGGGCTTTAAATGTTCTTGTGGAGTGGAAAAGAGTCATTGAATCATAATTCGGCCTAGCATCGAGTTTGTTTACATGCATAGTAATACTTTGACTACAGCTGGTTTTTGCAACGTCATTGAATATTTAAAGGATTAAATGCACATTCCACATCGCCTCTGTCTTTTGGTGTGTGTGTGTGTGTGTGTGTAAAGTGCCAAGGCTAATTGTAGTCTGATTACCATGTATACAGGACATGGTGAATGAATTCAAGCTATCTACTGTAGGTCTGTTAGTCCCTTTGCAAAAGCTTGACTGCTATGAATTCAGTAGGACCAAAGCCTTTTACAAATTATTGTACTGACTGAGATCTTCATCAAATGTTTGTTCTCAAGATTGCTTCAGTTGGATGGCCATTAAAACTGTTGTACTGTAAATTACTTTGAATGTTATGCATCTATGAAATGTCAAATTTTTACTAATCCTGAATATATTTTTTGTTTTTTTTTATAGACTGAAAACCTGAATAATTCATAGCAGGGAACTGTACAAGTGGTTGCCGCACTTTGGACAGGCAGTAGCCAGGAATGGTGGATCACTTGCTGCTTGATGAAGAGATTTTCTTTCCTTACACTTGTTTGCTGCCAGCCCACAACCCATCGGATATGGTGACAGACGAGGGGGTGTACCATATGCTTCCATCACCATTCTCAGAGGATAACCTGAGTGACTCATCTAGCTCACGTTCCTGTTCCAGCCCTGAGTCTCAGGTATTGGGCTCCAGTTGTGGGAGTAACTCAAGTGGAGAAAGTCAAGATGGCCTCCTTGACTTCCTTCACTCTCAGTCCCTAACTGTGAGCCAAAACTCGCCATCCTCCACCACCTTGTATCCCATGGTCCCTCCTGTTCTTCCCATGGGTCTGGCTTGGGAGTCCCGACGGGACCGCACCACCAAAGAGGAGTGCTTTGAGTTCCCTGTTTTCCCTGGAGATTTGGAGGACCATGCAGGGCAACTGTTTCAGCCCACTCTGGAGGAGATCGAGGAGTTCCTGGAGGAGAACATGGAAGTGGTAGCCTTGAAAGAGGAAGCTGGAGAGGGTCTAGTGACCTGTGAGAGCATCCAAGGACCTACATCAGAACCTTGGGCTCAAAACTTAGACCAAACAGTGCCTGTCTCAAGTGACATAGTTGACGCCAACTCTGATCCCAAAAGTGCACAATCCGCAGGAGGGGCCTCCACAAATCCTCAGAACACATTGAAAAAGGAGGACTCTTCTGGGAAGGTAGTGATGGTGGAGAGTCCTAGCATGCCCGTGATCTTACAGCTACAGCCCATTCAAGTGAAACAGGAGCTGAGCCCTAAAACTGCCCCCTCGACACCAACACCACAACCTGCCTCAGACATCAAAATAACCCAGCTCCTCGTCAACATCCAGGGTCAAACCTTTGCCCTGGTTCCTCAGGTGATCCCACCGGCAAGCCTTAACAGCTCTTCCTCCAAGTTTGTCCGTATTGCCCCTGTTCCCATTGCCGCTAAGCCCTTAGGTCTAGGGGAGAACGGAACAGGTGATGGCCAGGGAACAGGGCTTGTAGTTGGGGGTCACAAATTCCAGAAGAGCTCGGTAGCTGATCTTATTAAAATGCACAAGTGTACTTTCCCTGGCTGTGCCAAGATGTACACCAAGAGCAGCCACCTAAAGGCGCACCTGAGGAGACACACTGGCGAGAAACCATTTGCCTGCACTTGGCCTGGCTGTGGCTGGAGGTGAGTGTTTTTTTTCTGTAAAGTTGTAGTTTTTTTCCACTCAAGCAGAGGTTAGATGTCAAGGTCTGCATGTGTACGGAGGGCTTTCACTCCAGTAAGTTGTAGTTATTGCGAAAACAGTGTGGTACAACATTATCTATGTTGACCATCCATGAATGGACTTCAAACAAAGACTAGGTAAAGCTCTAGTATGTGGACTATCCAAATCTAAAGATCTGTTAGCTTGTCACTAATTTTCCTTGTTTTTGAGGCATTTCGTATCACGTAAGTTGCCAAGAACCAATTACCTTAAGGGTTTCTAAGCCTTTTCCTAGATGGCCAGTGCCCTGCAGAGTTTAGTTTAGAAGTTTCTAGTAAACCTATAGACCTTAATTAGCTTTTTCAGGTGTGTTTAATTAGGATTTGAGGTAAACTGTATGATAGTGGCCCTTCAGGAGCAGGATTGGACACCTCTGAATTACATGAACCGATTCAAAAGAACTAATCAGACTTTCCAATGTAAAAAAAGATATGTAACATTTTATTAGAGAAGTTAAGTAGAACACGTTTGATTATTATCTCAACTCGCTTATGTTGTAAGGTTGCAAAAGGTGAAATACAATGCAATTTAGCATGCAAGTGGTCATTCTGTACCACTGCTCATTGGAAACTTTAGCTTGTTACTGTAAAAAAACTATACTATTTTGAAAATCTGGTCCCATTATTGATAAATGTAGTCTAGTTAGTAGCCTTGCTACTTTTAGGTAGTTACTCCCCAACACTTGCTTGATAATGACTTTGTGTTGCAGCTGTAAAATTTCATTCACAATTTGTCCTTAGGTCTTGTTTTGTGTTATCTCTGCTGTTCGGAGATTAGATAAAGTCTTTGAAGAGGCAGACTTTGCCCTATTCACTGCTTCATTTGTTTACTCTTAGTCTATGTCCAGCTTCAATCTCTCTGAACAAGGCCTGGACACTGTTTAAAGTGCACCAGCAGTTGAGTGAGGTCAGGATTGACAGTATAGATAACGCTTCAAATGAAGAGTTTGGTTCTTGTATGATTTCTTGAGTTACCAAGTTTGTAACTATATTCTTCAAGCCCTTGGTTGCAGTAGTATCCCTGATTCCCAGGTTCCTCTCTCAGACCCTCTCTCTTTTCTGCCAATGATCCACTAGTTTCATGTACGACCCTCCAAGATTACCTAATTATTATAAAAACAAAATCAAAAATTGGATTGGCAAGTTAGAACCGTCATGAGAGAGCCTCTAGTCAAGTATGATAAGATTTACTGTTTCGAGAGGTCTGTTGTTATCAGTGACCTTGGTTAGCCTTGCTTCTGGATAGCAGTTGGCAGTGACTGGCCTTCAGCAGTCTGTGAGTCTGACTGAGGTCTCCAGGACACTGTCAGGAAATGGATGTAGGGAAGAAAGCAACAGAAGAATGCCCCATTGGCTGCCTCAAGCCTGGCTGCGGCAATGCTTTGCCAGCATTTTTAGCATTCCTATGGTACTCCGCAAATAAAATTGTCCTAGAGACACAAACACACAAAACCATACTCGCACTTCGACTGAAAATTTCTTAGATCTAAAAGCACACACAATCGCTTTAAACATGGTACTTGACTACAAAACCCACCAGTTGGATTGACGGCTAGATGATAATGTCTTTGCACACACGTCCTGTGCTTTGCTATTCCCCCATGCAGCTGGAAACAAACCAGGAAGTACATACTTTGTTTTATGCAGCTTGCACACAAAGGTTAATAGAGGACAAAACCTGCATGAAAAGCTTTATTTGAACTAATACAGTTTGCAGTATCAACATGTGAGTGTGCTAGAGCGAACCAAAGTGCTTTAGCTTAACTTTGTTTTGGAATGAAAAATACAGATTTGCAAGGTGGAATCAAGATGAGAGCGTACTTATAGTTTGTTGCAAAGGAATAGCTCTTCGACCACAATGCAAAAATGTGGTCATTTGAATAGAAGTTAATAGCATGTGCTGTAAAGCGTGCTGGAACAACTCTGTTTGTGAGCTCTGACGTCGATCCAGGAGGGGCACCCCGTCTCATCCTATCCCACAGGGCAACAATTAGTTCACCACCATCCCATCCCAACATACTTCAAAGATTTGCTGGCATACCATACATGTGGTATTTCAAAATGTGAGGTACTTTGTCATTCAAAAAAGCATTATGGTTTAATTAGCATTACAGTTAGCATATGCAACGTGACTTAATTGTCTTCTCTTTTGATTATGAAATGAGAAGCTTCTTGTTAGTTCCGTTAGTCACGCTGTCACTGCAGGGGGTTTATTTTTGGATTCAGCACAAAGTTAGCGCATTACTGTTAGCATAGCTACAACTGTACCGTTCCTGTCATGGCTTGTTGTAAAAGTGGAAGAAAAGCCAAGCAGGAGAGAGAGACTGGTTTTTATAGCCTTGCAAATACTCTACACATGTTCCCGAGACATTAGAAACAGATACTACCTCGCCTATGGCTTCATATGAAACCGTGGCATGGGGTTGAGCAAGAGTTTGTTTTCCTGGTTTTCTCATTTCAAACAGAAGTGAACACTATCTTCAGGTGCTTAATATTGAGTAAGATGTCTATTGGTTGTATAAAGGTGTAAAGTTGACAGTTATTTGTACACCAGAGATATAATACAACTAATTTCCCTGGAGTCTCTACGTATTACTTTCTGTGCAGGGTATATGGCATGACTTGAGTAAGAGAGAACTGCAAATTGAGTTAAGGAAAATGCTTCCATATTTTCTAAAAAGAAGCCACAAGTTTTCTCTCTTCTGGGTCTTGCTTTCAGAAAACATTAACAGTCATGAATGTGGTGCAAATCTTCTTTTGGAACATGAGCACTGGGTTAAGCGCCGGGTTAAATATAGTTGCTCATTAGATCTGCTTCAAGCTCAAACCATTTGCTGCTCAGTAGTGAAGACACTGATCAATTGTTTGACAGTTTTATGTGACGGTGCATGCGCTCTGTGTATTCGCCTCAAAGCCTGTGAAAGAGTTTTCACTGTCACTGATTCAGTGCTTTTCATTTTGTTACTCAGTATCTCCAGCACTGTTTTTCACCTTTTGTCCGATTTCACAGTGACAAATATAAGGGAACAAAAAGACGTGCAGTAGGGTTTATTAATGTGAGTAATGAGCTGTCTTGTCCAAATAGGCTTTGACTTATGATCTGTTATGCTCACTATTATATATTTCCATTATCTTTATCCAGTGATTTACTAATTTAGGCACTGCGTGTATTAAGTCAATGATAAATGTTGTTTTTTGCCTTTTTCTTTTATAATCTAATGCATTTCTTCACGAAATAAGATATTCGACTAGAGAAAACGTGAAGGGATATTTTAGTAGGATCAAGAAATGCTGGGCTAAGATAGCAGAGTAGTGTTGAAAAGTAAAGGATAGTTGTTTCAAAGGCAGCTCAAGTTGGTATACTTCGATGAATGATTACAAAGAGCAACACAAGGAATGTGCAGAGTAAATAAGGACCATGTTGACTTCAAAACAACTGTAACTGAAGCATTTTAGGCCCTCTGCCTTTTTTAGACATGGTCATAAAACAAAATACCAATGAAAGCAAAAAGTCAAGTAGTGCAATTTCTACAATGCGTATTGTTCCAAAGCAGCTTTACAGTAAAAAATGAACTGGATCAGTGCACAACCATTAATATTTGGCTTTATCTCTGGATTTTTCTTGCAGATTCTCCCGGTCGGACGAGCTGTCACGGCATCGCCGGTCTCACTCTGGAGTTAAGCCCTACCAGTGCCCCGTCTGCGAGAAGAAATTTGCCCGCAGCGATCACCTGTCCAAACACATCAAAGTCCATCGCTTTCCACGAAGCAGCAGGACAGCGCGCACTGCACACTGACCCCACACAACCCCCCACCATGGAGAGAGATAGAGATAGAAAGACCGAAGGAATGAAAGAAAGAAAGAGAGAAAGACAGATTCATTTGTGGTACTGTGATAATTTATTACGTGAGGCTCGGATGAACTGAAGAAGAGTTTGTTCTGAAACTGTTACTTGACTCGTCGGCCTCACGGATGTCGTAAGCTTCGTAGATTGTATTTTTGTAGCGTTCCTGATTGTTTTCTACGTTTTGAGAACAAATTTGTTTGCGACATGTAACATTCAAAGCATTTTTTGTTGTACTTTGAGGTATGAATTGTTGATGTATCTGCCAGTCATCAACATTCCTTGTTCAAAATCATGATAAAGTCATTTCTTTTTGCCAATGTAACGTGTTTAGCTCCTCTAAACCAAAAAACTCGGGTTCATTTGAACTACTGATCATTGGTAGGACTATGCCATTATAAGCTATTGGCAAACACAGAGGCTTTTCCTCTTGACTTTCAGTTGTATGCTAGCAAACTGTGAAACGCCTCGGGACAGACCATAGAGGGAATTGACGGAAGTCAAACATGCACATTTGACGTATGTGAATGGGCCTTCTGATCAGTATTGAATTTTTTTCCTGATGTTTTAGTTCATAATACAAAACCTTTTCATTTCATTCTTCGTTTTTGTCATTGGTTGCTTTCATCTGAAAAAAATGAAAACAAGATACCTTCTACAGCAATGCAACACATTTCATATCTGAGAAATCCAACGATCCGAGTCAGTAAGTTGATAGCTAAGCTAGGTCAATATAGACGAACAAACCTTTCTAACCTGCCTCAAACAGTCCTTTTGACCTGGGACTATCTGCCAAAATGTCTCTGCGAGACGAGCTTGAATGACAAAATGAAACTGGAATTGCAAGGTGCTAACCGGTCTCAAACTCGCAGCTTGCAGGTCAGATCCTCCTGCTTGGGAAATGTAGTCTGGGATGCATCTGGAGTTCAAAGAGGACATTCTTCATGGGAACTGTAGTCATGGACACAGCTTGACTATTGATAGGGCATGCTGACCATGTGTTCGCTAAAGAATGTGTGTAATATCCAGTGGGGTGCTGATAGTTAACGCTAATATTTAATGAAATTATACAATTGAATTGGATTTTGATTAGTGCTTCGTAACAACCTTGGCAATGCAATCTGTTCTATGCAGTCCGTTTTTGCCAAAACAAAAGCCCAAATGGAAACAACTACAAAGTTACCCAGAGTGCCTCAGGTAATGAATCAACCCGTTGCTCTTTGTACTGCGCCAACAGGCAGAACAGGCACCTATAGATGCGTCCACCTATATACACGCGTATAGTGTGATGACAGGAACTTATCTCTTCTGGTTCTCTTACTTGCTCTACGTGTTGACACGTGCTTCAGAGGAATGCATAAAAATGATTATGGTATCGTTTTGCTGCTCTGCTTATAATATTTAGCAACTGTTATGGTCAGGAATTCCGATCTCGGATCAGATATTGCAGAGCGGGAAGAAACCAGAACCACTCAGACCTCTCGCAGACCAGAAGAGAACTGTAGGAATGAAGGAAACACATTTGTCTGCATATAGTATAGGGATGTTTTGCTGCTGTTTGTGCCTGTTTAACATACAAACCAGTGCCGTGGAGGATCAATATCTCTTCAAGTACGTTATCGTTGCTCTCTGAAAGAGGTAACCATGTACAATTGGTTCTTTTAAAGCCCCGCTCATCTAAAACTTAGTAAAAGTAAAAGGCGGAGGTTGCGTACTGTTAGCTTTGCATTCCTTGCCGTCTATACATGAAATTTTTGGTGAAATTGGTGCTTATGGCCAACATTGAATGTATGTATACTGTATGTACAGACTTTGTACAAAATGTCGTTGGATCAGAGAGTACCGGATATTCTTCTACTGACGTATCTCACGTCTTTGATTGTATAAATGTCCCCTGTAAAATGTAAACCAATGTACATAATAACATTTCAATATATATATAAATATTATATATTTTTCTTGATATACATCAGATGCATTTACAAATAAATTGAAAATAAGAACTTTTTTGTTTTTGTGTTGTCTTGTTTGTATTTATGTTTATGTTATAGCTTAGGATGTGAATGCAGATGCTTCTAGCTACATTGATTTAATGTGAATGCAAAGACGTAGTTATGCACTGCATTAGCGCAAAGTTTTTATTTCTAGTTTGAACTCCACAGAACAATTTAATTCAATAGTTGTGCTTGCAATGCGTCACTCATGCATTCGGTTTATACACCGTGGCCTTAGAATGATTGATGGTCTCATACCAGTGATGTCTAATTATAGTCGTACCAATTAAAAATAATATGCAAGGCGTCGAGAGAGAAATTGTGCCTTATAATTCTAAATCCTACATTAAAACCACGCACTTCCTAAAGAAAGAATGCAATGAAGCACACATGTGCCTCTCTTTAACAGATTATAAGTGAGCCAAACAGTGAAGGTTAAGATGTCATAAAAGAGCTTTACTATATGTTTTAAATCTTTTACAGATAAACCTTGCATATAGTGATACTGCAAAAAGAATCTGGTTTAATTCATTATTTAAAAACAACAGCATGTTAATGTATTATATATCTAGTATAATTTCTATAACACACACACACACACACAGTAAATAAAATTTGAAATGTACTCTCTTCCTAATTTTTGTTATATATAATGTGTTCAGAAACCTTACATTTATTGAAAATAATTTGGGACCTATTTTATATATTTTGGACATATATATTTTTAGTAGTACATACATAAAACAATCTATCTATCCATCCATCCACACACACACACACACACACATATATAAATATATATATATATATATATATACACATACATATTAGTGCTGTCAAACGATTAATTTAATCCAAAATAAAAGTTTTTGTTAACATAATATATGAGTGTATACTGTGTATATTTATTATGTAGGCTATGTATAAATACAAACACATGCATTAAGAAAAACATGTTATGTTTATATATTAAATATATTTATATATAATATAATAATATAAATATATAAATGGATATACATGTAAATATTTTCCAAATATATATTGTTAACAAAAACTTTTATTTTGAATGAGATTAATCGTGATTAATCGTTTGACAGCACTAACATATATATATATATATATATATACATGTAAATATTTTCCAAATATATACTGTATGTGTGTGTATTTACATATACATAATAAATAAACAGCACACACACATATATTGTTAACAAAAACTTTTATTTTGAATGAGATTAATCGTGATTAATCGTTTGACAGCACTAACATATATATATATATATATATATATTATCATTTATATATAATTTAATAGTGTTTATTGACTTGATGTACATAATCAGATCAGTACACGCGCTAACCTCTAAACAGCAGCTCCAACAGGAACAACAACCAATAGAGCAGGAGTCCAGCTCAAAACACTTGTGCATGTTGTTTATGCTGAGTCACCCAGGATAAGGACATATTGAGCATGATGCTTGTGAAGGGCCCTGATGTTTATGGCTGACAACTCCAATTTATGTTGCTCCCTTCACAAGTCCCCAAGCACATGTGGCACTCCTAAAGATGAGAGGAGGGAGTCAGGAAGAGAAGAATGCAGTGAAGTGATGTTCTTTTTATGGCCATCTGTTAGACAGGCTCACTGATGTGAAGGATATCCTCAGTCTACTGCCAAGATCTCCAGACGTTAGCTAACATATGATCTTAAACCTGCTTGACCATAAACAGCAGGCCTGTCTGGATGACTCCAGATTTGCTTCTTGAAAACTCAACATTTTATCTTTGTTTTCTACTCGCTGCATATCATACAGCTCAGATGGGCTGTGAGGAAACATCCGGGGTCTTTGAGGAGGGTCGGTTGTTTACTGCCATATTCAGATTCATAGTAAGGGATTGACTTTCAGTGTATCATTTGCGGTAATGAATAACGCAGTTCTGTTTCATTCATGTAAGCCTATTCTATTTTTAATGTCAGCGGGTTCTTTAGGCAGCTTGATTTATTGTACTATCCTGGCAACTTATTAAATGAACGTGTTTTATGAATTCATTTCAGTTTAAAGCTATCAATCCCTGTTGTTTAGGGAACTATATTTCCTCGGCTCTCGGGCTCTTGCTGTGCTTGGGGAAAAGCAATGGTCTTCCACCCATTTGACAGATTTATTTTTGGAGCATTTGCCGTTGTTGGAAAGAGTAGATCCATCTGTCGTGACACCAAGGTAACTTTAGGTCAAGCGAATGACAGGTCACAGGAAATTATGCGGTGACTTATTCTATTAACGGTTAAATGCAGCTGTTTACAATTGAGGCATTCGGTAAAACCTGGATAAGGCTGCATTTTCCATTTGGTCAATTTCTGTGAGAATTTAAATGTTCTGTTCGATAGTAAATGTCTTTTAAAGGGGTCCTATTATGCTTTTTCACTTTTTTAATTTTAGTCAGTGTGTAGTGAGTATGTTTGGACATAAAAAAGATCTAGAAAGTTACAAATCTCAAAGTCCACTCCAAAGGGAGTTATTTCGTTAGAAAAATCCCTTTTCAAGAACTACAACGAACGGCTTGTTTGGACTACAGCGTTTGTTTTCCGGGCTTTGTGATATCACAAAGCGGCTCATTGGAATATCATTACAAATAATTCCCGCCTACAGAAATCGAATGGTTGGGGGGTGGGGAGGGGCGAGGTTGTGGTTAGAACGCTTCGGCTGAGTGAGTGCATCAGACGAGACGATGAAGAAGAAGTGCTGCTGCAGAGTTAGTGCATCAGAGAAAACCAAGAAGAAGAGCTGCTGTGAATCAATTGCATTGTGCAAAATTGGGACAAGGTGGAGCATTTCAAATCAAACTGCCTGTTCGTCCTGTTATCAAGGCTATGGCATCAATTAGATGACTACAAAAAGCTAACAAACTTTTAAATACTGAACCATCAACTCAAATGTTGTCACTTTTTATTGCCATTTTTCAAGGTAAAAAAATGGTTTAATGGGGATACCGAAATTCATGAACAAAGATCAATTTAAAATGTTTATTATTATTATAATTTAATATCAAAATGTATGTACTCCTTTAAAATATTTATTAAAAAAGTACTCCATCACACTAATATTATAAATACTATTTTTGAATAAAAGTTTAATACATTTTAATTAATGTATTAAATATTATTTTATCTAAAATATATACAAATCTGTAATATAATATTTCTATAACATAATTTCTATAATATAATATTCAGCAACAACATTTGACTGACTGGCTGTGCATGTAATTTTTTTTTTTAAATAAATTATTTATTATATATTAATGATCAGTATTAACTAGTTTTTTAAACTAAAGTTTCTGATAATTTGTAAACTAGTATATTAAATAGTAATATTTCTATAATAACAATAATAACAATAATACAAATAATAATAATAAATGTCTATAACATGAACAAATCTGTAAGAAAATTTCTATAATATATTTCTATGAGTGTCTATAGACATTAAAATGTAAACACTCTTTTAAATGTTTATTAAAAAAGTACTCCAAGTTTATAATACATTTTAATAATATATAAAATATGACTATTGCTATAATATATAAAAATCTGTAATATAATATTTCTATAACAATTTCTATAATAATATTCAGCAGCAACATTTGACTGACTGGCTGTACATGTAAAAATATTTTATTATTTATTAATTAACAGTATTTAAGTTTTTTAAACAGAAGTTTATAATAATGTTTAAATTAGTATATCAAATAGTAATATTTATATAATAATAATAATATTCTATAATATAAACAGATCTGTAATTACATTTCTAAAATATATTTCTGTGTAAACACTCTTTTATATATTTATTTAAAAAGTACTCCATCGTCTGAACTTGTTTCTACATAGAAGTTGTAAATTCTTAGAGCTAATTAATTAATTATTTAAATTAATATTTGTTTAAATATTTTATTTTTTAATATTTTATTTACATTTTAATTTTTTTTACCATTCTCTTTGAAAGGAATGACTCCACTGACAATAAGAAAGCAGTGCATGTTTTATTCTCATTAGAAGCTGACAGCTTCAGTTTGAAAAACAGCTTACTGGCGTACATGTGTGAGATGATTTATGAATATTCCTGCACATATTGCCTTGCTTTTGTTCCCTCTGCTCAGGATTTCATTATAGCTCACAGCCTTGCAGTGAACATTTGTAGGATTCTCGATCGAACCTCTGACCGCAGCATTACCATCGGATTCATCTCAGATAATAAAACCCAGATTTAAACATTGTTGCTGTGGTCAGTTTTCTGAAGGCTCTCGGTTATTCCGTTTTCATGTTGTCATATCCAAACTTCATGCGAGCGGGATTCATTTAGTCTTGCAGGAGGACTCAAAGGATATAAATGTGGTCAGACTTGATCTCTTCATCAAGGTCTCAGTCTAGAAACATCTTGAAGGAATGGAGGAGATGTTGGCAGCTCATCTCGCCTCTATTTCCAACCTGAGACACATTCTTTTCTTCCGGAAATAAAACTGTCCATGCCTCTAATTAACTGTTAAAGCCCGGTTTGGTGGTTGCACTCATTTTCTTTTCTTTTTCCCCCTTTTTTTTGTGTGTTCACATACCATACAGGCCTGATTTTGCAGAAATGAGCTTGAATACATTGGGGCACATAAAACAAAGCAAAGCATAAAAACAACCAACATCCAAATGTATATAATTTTATAACTTGGGACATTTCCCAGTCATTTTTTTCCCAGTATTAGAAGATCAAAAACAAACACACACACACACTGGCAGTTTAACACCCACAGATTTCTTACACAGGATAAAACTCACTAAGTTTAAGGAACAAAACCGCTGAGCTTCAAAAGTTTAGTCAGGCCTCAATCCTTGGCAGCCATTCCTTTCCCTGGCGAGTACAAGTCTGATAACAAAAGTGCATTTGCTAACTCTGAAGCCTTTTTTCTTCACAGTTCAAAGGAAAGGACAG